CATGCCCATCTGTCATTGTGCTTCCCTGGGGACTGCAGTGACTAGTGCTCATTCACACGTTGCACCCTTCCCAGAGTATGTTTCCACATTAGCAAGTCATCCACAAGGTCAGCCTCTGTACTTGTTTTCCAGGAGACTCGGGAGTAAGCGTTTCATCATCTCTTTGGTTCGTTACCAGGACTGAAGTTGTTTCCATCACGTTTGTCAGTCGTTGGGTGCCACTCTTGACTGTACAGCAGAATGACATGCTCACTCTTCCTGCCATCCAGTCAATGCCGACTCATAGCAGCCCTGTAAGACAGAGTAGAACGCACCCCTTTGAGTTTCTGAGACTGTTTATGGGAGTAGGAAGCACTGTTTCTCCAGAGGAATGGCTGTTGGTTTTGAACTGCCAACTTTGAGGACTGCAACCCAACACGTAACCACACGCCACCAGGGGTTGTCCTGTTTGAGTCCATGATTGCAGCCACTGCATGACAGTCCGTGCCATTTAGGGTCTCCCTGTTTCTTGCTGACTCTTTGCTTTACCACCCAGGGATAACCCCAAAGATCAATTTCTCAGTAGAGTAACTAAAAAAACAATATGAAACTCTATTGAGTCGTCCTGATAACTCCAAAGTACATGGGAAAAAGTCTTATGCTCGTTTGTAAGGAACAGAATATTCTGTCTGTACTTTCCTAAAACAGATTTGTTTGTTCTTCCCGTACAGTCAATATTTTTTGCCAACACCATAATTCAAACGCATCATTTGGTTTCACTTGCATATAATGGGATCGAAAATGCCACAGTGTGAGTCAGGCACATTTTATTCCTCAAAGTGACATTTTGCTCTATGGCACTCTAAAGAGGTCTTGTGCGACAGGTTTGCCCAAAGAGCTGTGTCATTTGATTTCCTGACTTCTCTCCCAGGAAGGCTCGTTGTGGATCCAAGCAACCTGAAATCCTTCCACGTCAGTCTTTCCCATGTTTACCACGATGTTGGTTACTGCTTTCTCCACGCCTGTGTTACCATGTCTGTGGAAGGGGCCTTGTGTCTTCTATTAGTGTGCCTGTAGAAGTCCTCCAGCCAGATCTCTGGTGCACTGACTCCTGTGTGAGCTTTCCTTCTTCTTTTCATTCTTCCTGCAGCGTTCAATATTTTGCTCAAAGAGTCTTTCAGTTTCATAATCCTTATAACTCAAGGCTTTAGGTTTTTTCTCCAGTTCTTTCATCTTGAGATATCGAGGTGTTCTTTGGTTTTCTTCCTTTTTTAAATCATTTTATTGGGGCTCGTACAACTCTTATAACAATCCATACATACATCCGTTGTGTCAAGCATATTTGTACATTTGTTGCCATCATCATTCTCAAAACATTTGCTTTCTACTTGAGCCCTTGGTATCAGCTTATTTTTCCCCTCCTTCCCCGTTCCCCCTCCCTCATGAACCCTTGATAATTCATAAATTATTATTATTTTGTCATGTCTTACACTGTCCGACATCTCCCTTCACCCATTTTTCTGTTGCCCGTCCCCCAGGGAGGAGGTTATATGTAGATCCTTGTAATGGGTTCCCCCTTTCCAACCCACCTTCCCTCCACCCTCCCAGTATCGCCACTCAGCACTTATCCTGAAGGGATCATCTCTCCTGGATTCCCTATGTTTCCAGTTCTTATCTGTAACAGTGTACATCCTCTGGTCTAGCTAGATTTGTAAGGTAGAATTGGGATCATGATAATGGGGTGAGGGGTGAGGGGCGGGGAAGAAGAAAGAAAAAGATAATGGGGTGGGGGTGGGGATGGGAGGAAGCATTTAGGAACTAGAGGAAAGTTGCATGTTTCATCGTTGTTCTTTGTGGTTTTCTAACTCCAAACCAAAACCAAACTCACTGTGTTGAGTCAACTGATTCATGGTGACCCTAAAGGACAGGCTAGAACTAACTGCCCCCAGGGATTTCCCACATGTAAAAGTTTTATTATACATATATATATTTTAAAGATCACCTTATTGGGGGGATCTTACAACTCTTATTACAGTCCATACATCAATTGCATGCAGCAGTCATGTTTGGGCATATGTTGCATCATTCTTTTCTAGACTTTTACTTTCTATTGAGCCCTAGGTATCAGCTTCTCTTTTTTCCCCTTCCCTCCCTGCCCCTCCCAGACTTTTAACTCTTTATGGGAACGCCCCATCCTTCTCCCCAGGAGCTGCTGGGGGTTTTGAACTGTAGATTTTGGGGATTACAGCTCAACTTGCAACCACTGTGTCTCCTGGGCTCCTTTGTAACCCCGGGCCTGTGCATATTTCGCTACAGTGCTTTCCTGGGCTTTACAGTGCCTTCTGCTCCACGCTTCCTTCGCTTTCTTCTTTCCATTCCCTTCAGAAGAAGCTGTACTCCAGAGCAGTCTCTTCTGACGCCCACTGTGGTGTTTCTCTCCTGCCTTTTTAATGACCTCTTGCTTTTTTCATGTATGTTGTTCCCGATTTTATCCCACAACTTGTCTGTTCTTTGATAATTAGGGTTCAGTGGGTCAAATCTCTTCTTGAGATGTTCTGGAAATTTAAGTGAGATGGGTTGAAGGTCATCTTCAACCTGAACTTGCATATGAGCGATGGATGGTCTGTTCCAGTCAACCCTTGGCTTTCTTGTTGGCCGATGATATTGAGCTTTTCCATTAGCCCTTTCCATAGATGGAGTTGATTTTATTACTGTGTATTCCATCTGGCAAGGTCCCCAACGTAGTTACTGTTTTATGTTGTAGAAAAGGGTGTGTGTAATGAGAAATCATTAGTTTAGCAAAATTGTATCTTGAGATCTCCAGCTTTGTATGTGTCACCAGGGCCGCCTTTTCGAACCGCTGACCATTCCTTTTTTCCAACTTCATTCAGCATTCTAGTCACCAGTAATTATGAGCACATCTTCATTGTTTAGTCTCAGCTGGAAGGGGTGGCAGAAGTCTTCTGTTTTTTCACCCCAGTGTGAGTGATAATTTACATGAACTTGAACAGCTCTATCAACTGGTCTTCCTTGTAGGCATTTAGATATCTTATCATGGACAGCACTGTACCTCACTGTACTTCAGTCAGGCATGTTAACGGCTCCATATCACTGAGTGTTCCCGATTCTATCAAGAACTAACTCTCTCTCTGTCTTGACAAGTCCTCCTAGATTTCCCAACCCTTGTTTTTTTAATCACTAAGATGATATTAAAACACCTATCACATCAGTTTGTTAGCATCGTGTTCTTAAAAAAAGGTACATTAAGAAAGCTCAATAGAAACTCAATCTAGTGGTGCAAGTTCCCTAAGACTGCCTTCCGGTATGAAGTGGTCTCACTGAGCATATGGTGGGAGTTCAGATGCTTAGGGACATGCTCCTTGAAGGCAGTCAGTCTCCAGACAACTGTCTGGGCCCACCACAAGAGAGGCCCACTTCCTGCTACTACAATGGGCTACTTCTCCCTAAAGGCTTGTGGTCCTTGGTTTGGTTCCTGTAGGTGGGGTTCACACCCTACTGATAATGGTGTCTATAGTGAAGGTCAGAGTACTGGTCAAACCGGCTCAGTGATATCCAAAATTAAGCTGCCTCCCTGAATCTAGGATCCACCCATCTTGTCACATGGGTACCCCCAATACCTCCCCTTCCTATTGGGTGGATACCCCTAGATCACCCCCCTCCCATTACTGTATTACCTGTAGTACAACCCTTTCCTATGACGTATGTCTTTGCCTATAATTAGGGGGCTTGCACATCCCCAGAGAATATAAAAGCCTTGGTTAGCAATAAACCTCTCTCTCTCTCCACGTGGACCACCGAGTGAGGCTGAGGTGAGCACGCTACCATGAACTGTGTCTGACTCCATCATTTCACTCTCTCTTCTATCTCTCCTTATTCTCTATGACTTTACTATAATCTCTACTTGTTATCGCTGTACAATTGAGCCTACCAGACCCACGATGATGTTAGGGGCAGGATTCCCTGACACTTAGAATCTGGTCAGGGGGAGGTGGCAAAGGTGGCTGCCACCATTGTCTATGAGAGAAAGTAGTCGTGTGTCCCTTTAGATCTGCCACCTTGAGAAGATCCCGTATCTTAGAGCAGATTACGTCTCACCTCGGCCCTGGAGGACCGGCGCAGGAGCACAGCCTTGGCGTTCCAGCCCGTCCATCTTTACGAAAGCAGATGGTCACCTTTCTCCTGTGGAGCAGCTGGGAGCCTTGAACCGCAGACCTTTTAGCTAGCAGTTGAGCATCTCTGTAGTCTGGCTGGCAGCGCAGATCCTGGATTCACTCAGGAGACCCCGGCCAAGCCCAGAGTGAGGCAGGTTCTAGTTTCCATCAAGGAGACCCGCTTTCTTCCAGTTCCAGGAAGGAGCTTGAAGAGACACTGACTCATCTCGGTGGAGGCAGGACCCTGGGCTGAAGGAGGAGAGGGTGAGGTGAAATGGGTTGGGAGGCTCCATGGACAGAGAGTGCTGGATCCAGTGTGCACCCCCTGACCTGAGGCTGGTAGCAGTCCTGTTCTTCCCAAAGATACAGATGTGTGTGACTCACTCCCAATTGCTTGAGAGCAGAGGATAAAGCCAAAGGGAGAAATGTTAATGAGAGAAGAATTCAGGCAAAATGCGTGTATTCCTGGGACTATTCACACTGCTTTTCTGAAAGTTGAAGTCATTAGAAAAGGGACGTGGCAGTGTTTCCGGGTTGTTCTTTTTAACTTGTTTAGAAACATTTGGATAAAGCAGTACACTCGCTGCACAATGCTCCTCTGCTGCTCGGTCTCGCTGCCTCATCTGGGGCCTTTGTCCCCCTGGCTTGGAGGCCTATGGCCTCTTGCCTGTGGTCTGGTCCGTAACATTGCCGTGACTTGTCTGTTCTGGGCAGCTTCAAAGCAGGGCATGAGGCCTTTCTCATTAGCAAGTTCCCCTTTAACTAGCGAAGTTCCCGAGTTGAAACACCTGAACCTAACCTATTATGATGTTTCTCTTTCAGCCCAAAACGGAGTCAACCCAGACTGGGAGAAGAAAGTAATTGAGTATTTTAAGGAAAAGCTGAAGGAGAACAATGCTCCCAAATGGGTAAGCTCATCGCTAGTTTGGGACCTTACAGGAGCCTGGAGAGCAGGGCATTAATTCATTACTGGAACACCCATTAGAAGACGGGTGGGTTTGCCGTGCGATGTTGTGAGCCACTTCTGTACCAGCACCACTAGGCGGCAGTAAGTGACCAGTGCTGCCAGGACATCCAGCTGGTGGCGGCCTTCAGTCCACCCCAAGGCCAAGGTTCTGCAGGGCGCTGGCTCCAAGCTCTGTATAGGCCACACCTCCTAAGGACAAAGCTGTGATGAAAGCTTGTGTCACTTTTGTTTCGGTCCCTTCATTTGAACAATTAGTTCCACTAAGCAGCTGCCTTTCTGGTACCTGAAATGTGTTTCCGAAGGAAAATAACATTGTAGTCAAGTGTAGTTGTGCAGACATGACTGTAACGCTGGCTCCTGGAGCCATTTCCTTCCCCGCTGGCCATTGGTTTTTTAATAGCAGCAGGGTCCCCCTAGGTAAGCTGCATATCCAGTCAGCGTTGTGATCTTTTGATTTGTTGGTTTTCTCTGAAGGTCCCTTCATTGAACGAAGTTCCCCTTCACTATTTGAGACCTAACAGTTTCGTGAAGTTTCGCTGCATGATTCAGGACATGTTTGACCCCGAGTTTTACATGGGAGTGTATGAAACGGTCAACCGCAACACAGGCGCGAGGGTATGCCTGGCTTCCTGCCCCAGAACTCTCTGCTTTCCCTTTGTTGCGTTGATTGATTGATTGAGTGTGTGTGTGTGTGTGTGTGTGTGTGTGTGTGTGTGTGTG